TACAAGTGTGTGACAGCCGCATGTCTCCTACATGTAAACGCCTTTTTAGTGTGTGAAAACTCCTGAATCCGTGATCGAGGAAACTAACGGAAGTGTGGAAGCATGTGTGTGAATGCGTGTGTGTGTGTGTGTGTGTGTGTGTATGTCTTATTGTATGATATAGAGGGTTTAATCCTGCAGTGTCTAACGAAGGCAGGAACCATCTGGTGTTGGGATGTGAGACAATCTGTCCATTTGGAGAGGTGACAAAGAAGGTGATAAGCACAGGAACAGGACACACACACACACAAATTATTTGGAATTGTGTCAGAAAAAGGCAATCCAGTACACACACACACACACACACACACACACATTTCATTTATACCAAGTGCACATATCTCTAGTCTCTATGGTAACTAGTAGCCGTCATGGCAACGGAGTACAAGCGGTAGAAGAAGAGGCTGAACTCTCATGACTGTCCTCAATTTATTTTGGACCCCTCGTACAGTTACACACACACACACACACACACACACACACACACACACACACACACACACACACAGAGTTAGTCATGTTGAGCTTTTCAGAACACATTCCCAGTTTTGAGTGTGAATACCTCTTGAAGTGGGGAATGCAGGGACAAGACCGGACCCGTAGGTGAATCACACACACACACACACACACATATATATATATACACCCACGCACACACACACCTACACAAAGTGAGCACAAGCTGTCAAGCCTTCACTTGTCAGATACAGACATGAAGAAGCAAAGAAGAGGTTGTTAGATGATCAATACGAAACACAGCGGTGTAACTGAGTACATTTACTAGTACTGCACTCAAGTACGATGACTAGGCTCTTGTAAGTATTGTAGTTTTTACTCCACTGCATTTATCAGACAATTAATAGTTACTTTACAGATTATGATCTTACGTATCAGTTTATAGAATATGAAGCACCAATCAAACTACGCAAGATCAAATCAATGAGCAGAACTACTTTTCGGCCTCATTGTCAGTCAGGATTTGACCCGACGACGAACGTTGCTGTTTCACTGGATCAGCGCTAAACTATCTGCTTATTTTATGTATAAACTGATTCTTCATTGTGATTTAATATATTGCTGTGACAATATATAGACCCACGCTAAAGGGCAGCAATGAGATGTTGCTTGTTATTTACTGATATAAAGAAAAAACAGCTCACTTAATCTTGGACCGTCAATCAAATGCCTCCCATTTACAGCAACACATTAAATATACACTCACACACACACACACACACACATCCTCCGTGATATCGGGTCCACTCATCTAGAAAACATTAAGGCAATTGTCCCCAGAGGACCAGAAACTATCTGCACTCCACCGTCGTGAACGTGGCTTTCCAAAACGAAATCCATTTGTGAGTGCTTCGTTCTGGGCTCTCGGAGGACTCACTTGAAATGAGAGCATTTTGCAGCCTTGACGCACTTTATTTTGTAATTTCTTGAAGACGAGGTGGTGCGACTGAAGTGAGAGGCAGCAGCACCACCGTGTGGATTTATACAAGATGTGTCTGCAGCTCACTGCACTGCAGGGAAATGAATGTGTATATGAAGGGCCCGTTCATCTACCACTGGAGAGAGAGACGCACTTCATTGTATGCAGCATGTGGAAGGTGCATTTACCCAACCAGAGGTTATCGTCTGGCTGATTTAAAAGCGTCTAAGGTTTTACAGACAGTGCTCTGAACCTTAAAATACCAATTGAGGAAGTTATTTTTAACAAATTCGTATAAATATCTTGATATTTGATTGATATTCTGGTTTTAACAGAACAATCGAGACTTTTCTTCCAGTCAAAAACTGATCAGATTGTTTTTCAAAGCCAACGCAGTCACAGTTGGGATCCAGCTAAGAAGTTCCCAAACTCTCGCAGCCTGGGTTGAGGTCTGAAGCTTCATGTAAGAAAATACTCATTTGGACTTTGGTACCCACCAAATGTTTCATACCTTACTTCATGAATTAATCATTATTGGTAATTAAATGAGCACTTACTAATTTGCTCTCAATCAAGTTAGCACTATAGGTTTAAGCAAATTGGATCAGTTCATTCAGTGGACTGCAATTAGTTTTATTTTAGCATAATGTAAAAAAAAGAAACTCCAATTATAAGCAGTATGTGCACGCTTACAGTACTCATACATTTTAATAAGTCATTATTATAAATTATTAATATCAATTGAATAATTTAAAGATAGAAAGTCTGAATTAATGAGTCTTAATTTCAGGTCTTTTCCACTCTACTATGAAATACAGTACAAGAATATATTCACTGATTATACTAACTGTGATTACGTACACCGTATTATATGATGTGACGCTGATGTTGGCATCACAAAATTTGGAAAGATGATTATATGTTAGAAATGGATGGGGTACTCTGTTAATATTCTTCGTACGTGCTTAATTTAACAGTTAACCTGGACCAGGTGTAACTCAGATGAGTCAATCTAATCAGATGACGTAAAACAGCCGCAGTCTCTCACACACGCACACACACACACACACACACTTGTATCCCTCTATTTTAAAATGCACTGACAATGCTCCCTTGTCTCCATGGACACCACAGCATCTGTTGCCCATAGCGATTATCTGGCGAACAAATTACATTTTGAAAAGACACTTTGTCCTCTTTTATCTCTCTCTTTCCATCCCCTCATTTTTTGTTACATCTACATGTCCATTTTATTCTCCCACTACAATATCTGTCATCACACACTCACACACGCAGAGAGAGAGACACACACCTCTCTCTCTCTCTCTCATACATCTCCACCACCCCAGAGACTACTTCAGTGACAATGTCTACTACTGCAGTGGCACAGAGTCATGAGGACAGCTTGTACAGTAGACACACACACACGCACACACACACACACACACACACACACACACACACACACAAACACACACTCTTTCACAAGCACGACCGCCTTCATCTAATAAGCTTCAAAGTGATACAAAGTATGTAGACACCTGAACATTACACACACGCAGTTCACAGTCAGCGTTCTAGTTCGTCCCAAAGATGCTGGATGGGACTGAGGTGAGATGTCTATGCAGGTCAGTCAAGGGAAACTTTTATTTATTTTTTTATGTAAAAATGAACCTGCATCTAAGGTTTCCTTTAATATTTTTCCTTTTGTAAAGTATATCAAAAGTTTCATGTAATATATTCATAGATTGCTGTAGCTTTTGCGGGCTGCTCTGGTAGCTAAAGGTCTCGTAATAGTTTTGTTTATCTATGTTATGCTCGCAAGTAATTGTGCTAAATTATTTGAACCCACTCATGCACAGGAAACTGCCTATGAGTTTACAATTAAATGAAAATATGAACTTTGAAGTTAAGGGATCCACAAAATTCACAAATTCTTCCAAATAAACATTTCTGTACGGACCTGGCTTTGTGCACATGCTGCAATAGGAACATGCCTTCAACAGTTTGATGTATCGTATCGTCTGCTTGTGCAGCCTCTAGTGGCTTCACTCTGCACTGCAATGCAGCTTCACTCAGAATTATATGGGAATTCCTCGTCTACATAATCCTCATGCAATACAATATTCCTATTTACAAGCAGATGCAGCTCTAGATGAGAGTACTAAAAAGAGTTTGTAGTGTGAAAATACTTGTGCTCATCATTTAGACGTTACCGCTCTTGCTTTCCATAACAGAGAGAAGATTGATGTCGCTTATGTTTTAAAAGTTACGCATCTTAAAATGAATACACAAACACAAAAGCATGTATTAACACTTTCTCTATCTCACATATGCATCCAGAAACACGTACCCGTACAGACACTCACACACAAGAGCAGCATGTGGGCGGTATCCCCAGCGCTGCGAAACATCTTGCATCCCACATGCTTATATAACTCCCTCTCCACCTCCTCCAGCTGATCACTCATCACTTTATCACTTTATCCTCCGCTGGGAAGGGAAAAACACCCCTCCTCTTCTCTACCTCTTGTTGAAATCAGCCAGGCGGGCGCCCTCTGCAATCCAGCATGATTTCGTTACACTCGGAGCATCAAGAGGAGCACATCTCTCCGATGAGATCAGGCTGCACCAAAACCCCATCTCTGCTGAAGATTTCATGTTGGTCAAAATTGAATCAAAAACCTGCACTACTTGTGACAACATAGCTGAAATGTCAACCCTCGCGATCATCCACCATTACTGGTATTTACAGGAAAGAATTCAATCCAGGGAAAGCAGCTGCAAACTATCTGCTGGCTCTAATGAGAAGAAATGCCTGACGGACTTTCGGCACTCCCAGTTCGGCCTCTGCATCTTTCCTCACAGAGGGAACTTTAACACCGACTTCGGACTTGTTTCAGATAAAACGCCAAAGGACAAAGCGTATGCATCTACTGATGTATGAGTCTCTAGTGCAATTTATTGAGTGGGAGAAACAGATCCACTCTGTCACAAAGCTGCAGCCGTGCCGCTGCTGTCCTTTATCGCAAAGAAACCCATCAGTTAAAGCTGAAACAGCAGATGCTGAGATATCCTGACTTTTAGTCCCTGGTATGGGTAAAACCTGGTTTCCTACATTTCCCATAATGCAACCCAACAGCATACTGCCAAACCATCATCAGGGTTGTTTCCTCAGACTACAGAAGCTGAAGTATACTGATCTACATGTGTAAACATTTGATGGAGTGCCCCTTTAAAGTCAGGTTACAACTATATAGTTGTATTTTTTTTAAAGGCTGAGTAGTAAAACAGTTTTAAGCTGTGGATTAATACATACGTGATGCACTGGTGAGTATTATATAAGTTAAGTATGTGGTATTGTCTCACGGAGTAAGAAGATTATTCAGGATTTGGATACACAGACACAACGTCGGTCTTATTATGGGATTTGTTTGACAACAAGAAAACAATCACCAGCCTTGTCCTTTAAAATGAGCATTTTTCAGGACTGCATGCAGAAGTAGGAAATGAAACCGTGACTTACATTGATGAGCTCGATCTCCCAGATCTTCTTGACCAGCTCCATGGACGTGTAGCCGTTGATGAGGAAAGTCTTGGTGTAGTCGCCGAGCTCCAACGACTCCAGCCACTCTGCCACCGACGTGGGGTTGTTGCCGTCGTAACCGACGGGTCTGATCTGCAGTGCGGACAGAGAAGTGACCTTTTTAAGTTCTGTATCATTTAACATCTTATTACTTTTTCTGCAGTTTTTTTCTTTACAAGACTTTATCCTGAACTGCTGAGCTTATTTCTGGAAAACCCGGTGCACCCGCTGCTTGGGAGGTTTTATGACACAAGTTTGTTTTCCGCCATGTTCTCGTGAATATAGGAGACACTGTGAGGAGAAGGAAACGTTGGAGGTGTTTTGGCATATGGTAGACTACCTTTGACCTGGAGCTCTGCAGCTTAGAACAGCGTGTGCTGTTCTAATGCAAAGTACATTACAGCCTGAATAAATATGTCTTATATAACATGACAGCTGTTTGAATTCTGTTTACCCTATATTTTATTGCTGCACTGCACTTTATTCATTCTCCGTCTTTATTCTGCTGCAGCAGCCAAATTTCTACACGGGGATCATTAAAGATTTATTTTATGTTAAAGATCTTCCCAAGAAGCAAATGTTACTGAGCTCTAAAAGAGTGGGTTCTTTTTTCAAGATAGAGCACAACTTTATGACTTCTATCACGCAAGAAAACACAAGTCGAACTTTTGAGAAAGGGCAGAATAGGACACCAACAGCAGGGGGTTAGTGCCTTAAAATAGTGCAGCACATTATTCATTCCCTTTCATTTTGACAGTCAGAGAGCTTGTGGTGCTTCAAACCAACATCCCACGTCCTCCACCTTAAGTCGAGCGTGCGTTTGTCTACATGTGACGGCAGGCAAAAGTTAAAGGGTTCATTTTTTTTTACAATGTTTTGGAAGATTTAGGGGGGATGAGGAGAGGAAAGTGCTGACTGGAGATCAAAGTTTTTCGGGTGTTTGTGTGAAACCTGCTCATCTCTTTTCTGTCTGTACTCCACTGCAGACTCCGTTTTACTGCTCTCACTCCAGCTCCACACCTTTGATCTTACTTTCACTCTTACACGCTTACACACACACACACACACACACACACACACAAATGTTACCTTGCTACAGTATCATACAGCAGCAAACGTTCCCATAAGTCTGTGAGTATTTGTTGTATTATTTCAACAGCGATTGGTCCCTTTTTTAAGCAGCTGTTGGCCTTTTTCTCTGTGTCTATATGTCTGTGCGTGAATTTTACAGATGCAGGACGATGTGGATTTAGACTCAGCAAAGAGTGAGCAGTTACCTTGCATCATTTCCCTTTATCCTAAACAAGCAGATTGTCTGCAGCTATATGTGGACGTCAGCACTTAACACTTGTATCATGTCAACATTACAGTCTTAAACTTGTTGGAGTGTTTGTGTAGCTGCGGTACTGACCCTGGGCAGCAGCCGTATGGCCTGCAGGAGCCGTTGTCTGTGGGCCGAGTTGAGGATCCCGATCTCCAGCAGGTCCTGGTCTTCCACCACATTGCTGCCCTGCAGAGCAAAAAAGGTTAGAGCCAAGGTTAGGATTTGTGCAGAGCTAATAATGCAGCAGTGTCTGCAATAGAAAAGCACGGCTCCGCATAGGATGACTTTTACAGACAGATCTCTGGAAAAAACAACAACAATAAAATAGCAGAACCTAACACAGAACACGCAGAAGTTACCAGTTCAATTATTTTCGTTGTGTTCTCCTGTAGTAAACGTTTGTAATATCAGCTGTTTATTTGGCTCATTTGCAGGTTTTATCTCCTTCACTACAAATCAAGTGTGCTTTGCGTTTTTGCTGATCATTTTTGAATGCACGCTGTACAGTTTTAGATGTGTCCTCCCTTCCATTCTAGGCGGCCATTGTTTTCCATTTACTGCCACACTGTTAGATAATCAAGTCCCAGACTCTGAAAAGCTCACTTGAGGTTTGTAATCCATCACAGTGAACATCAAGTATGCGTCTGGTTGTTTCCTGTTTTTTTTTTTTTAAGTCCAATTATCATTACATGGTAATCCACTTTAAATGCAGATTGATTTGAAAAGTCTGCAGTGTGTTACCTTGTTTCAATAATGTTGCTGATTTAAATACACGATGAATTACACAACACGTGCAAATTCCAAAAGTGTGGTAATAGTTGTCTTTTTGCACGGGAATGAATACAAACCAATGGCTGTATGGAAAGCTGTCTGATATTTGTATGATAGCAATAAACCGTCTTGGCTTCTAATGCATTTTGTTTTAACAATTCAGTCCATAGGGTACCTGTTTACTACTCGACCGTAACAAGAGAAAATGCATAAGTCAAACTTGACAATTTTGAGTAAAATATGAATAAAACAAAACAACTTTTTGACATCAAATGGTTCTATTCAGGTGGTCGAAGAGCAGTCAAGAAGAAATAAAAAAGAAATGGGATCGGGACAGCAAAGTGTGGGTATTATTTTGTCTTTTTGTGCAGATTGTTACGCAGCACTTCAAACCACTTGCGGATGTCCGTGTGCCTCCTGATGCTTTTGTGAATATTTCTAACACTCCCACATCAGTAAAATCACACTCATGGTGCCAAAGTCTGCACTAAATCCAAACAGCATTTTGTAGGAGTTTCTATGATTTAGTGCAACAACATACACTCCACTACAATGGCAATAAGTGGATATTGGCACAGATTTATGTTCAAACAATAAGGCTTCAAAGACAGCAATCTGTGAGTAAAATATCAGAGAAAAGACAGGAAAGCAATGAACATGTTGAAGCAAAGCTACAGTCAATAGAATAGAGTAGACGACAAGTTGGATATTCATCTTTAAGACCCACATACACACACACTAAAGCCTGTGTGGGAATCACGCACAGTTTCACCTTCAATAATCCAATGGGAAACATTAAGAAGCCTATCAGTCACCTGCCCCCCCCCCTTTCCTTTTGAAACTCCAGATCTGCATAAGATAGATTATCACATCGTTAATTACCAGCCATTTACATTCTAACTGGAGGGCTTTGAACTGGCCCAGTCTACAAACTTGTCAAGACCTGACAAACAACTAAAATGATAAATATGGAAGACAAGTGCTGGAATTAAAATCCTTGCAATCAGAAGGTTTCCGTATTAAATCCTCTAGGAAGTCTTTGATTTACAGCTCAAAAACATTCGCCTAGCCTGCACTTTATCCTCACACACAATTATACCCCTTAACAATCAAACAGATCAACCAGGACATTAGGACTCTTATGTGGGTGATTTCAGCTCTCTTATTGCAACAGGGCCCGTGCCATCAGTGCTTGTTTTTAGTGGGTAGAAAGATTCAATGACTTATTGTAGTACCTTTAATGACCTTTAAGGACCATCTCTTGTAAAACAGATTCAAAATATCAGAGGGATTTTCCTGGATGAATAAAGGTAAAATAAAGTGAAATCTATCTAACCCACCCACCTCTTTTATTCTGAAGGCCAAAGGTCCATATTTAAAGCCTTACCGTTTTCCATTTTTCACCTTAATTTGTAATCCATGAGCACCGATGTATACACAAACACATGGTTAATCCATGCTCTTGTTTTATTGCCAAATTAGTTTTTCTTCTTCTTTTTTTGCTGACTTAAATCCCCTGGCGTGTTTCTAAACGTTACCTTGATGAAAGGAAGTTTAAAATGTCAATACCCTTTGGACAGTAAAGCCCCTTAAAGTGAACTATGTTGCTGCAGGCTCATTAGTATAACTCTGTCTCCGAGGCTCCACCAGTCTGTCCCGGCACCATGAAACCTCAGGCAGCAGCAGCTGATTGGGCTGATCCTGTGGCTAAACTTATTCCTTCTACACTCTCCTCACCAACCTGTGCGCCCGGACCTCTGTGAGAGGAGTGCAGTTCACAGATCAGCTCCCAGGCTGATTAATAGAGCCCAGAGCAAAGCCGACGTCGGAGTTACCATGCTACAACTCCACGGCAGAGTAATAACTCACAGAGTTACAGCAGAGCAGACTATGGGGGGGATTCAAAGGCACGACTATAATTGCTCCCTGCTGGGATCCTGAAAGAAAGAGACAGAGTTCCTTCACATTTCTTCTTTCTATCTCCAAACATATCCTGCCCTGCTCCCATTTCTGTCTTCGCTGGTGGCGACCGGTGTGTTTAAGCATCCGCTGTGTTGATAAAAATTGCCAATGGCTTGTGATACTTCGACCTCGCCTCGGTGGGTCACAAACACAGGAATTTAAATTCATGCACCAGTTAGGAAGGTTGAGGCAAAACTAAAGATGGAGCAAACATTGATATTCAGCGATGGTAGTGAAGGCCATTATCTGCACCAACGGGCTTAGTGGAGTACAACAAATCACGCTCGGCGTCCTGTATTCTTGCTCTTTCTCCGTTCTCTTTCGTTCGTTTGCCATCCTCCGTTGCTATGCTATCAAACGACTTGTCCTTTGTTCTCATTGTAATGTTGCTTCTCTCTTACTTGCTATTCAAACCATCTCTTCTCTCTCCTCACTTTCGCTTTTAGTCCGCATTTCAAATGCGTTTTGGTTTCTTTACAAACTTCTTTATGTTACATTTATCTATATTTCATGTGTGAACTTGGTAGCAGCTCCAGGATAAATACATTCCTTCATGAGGATGATGAAAGGTGCCACCTGTGAATGAAAAATGGATATTGACAATGTTTCATTTCAAACATTGTTGATTCATTCATTTCACTTGCCTCGCTGTTGCTCTTATCGGCGTCAGTTTCTTTAGTACACACTGCATGACATCATGCTCTATCTCCTCATTGCTGCTGTCTATCCAGCACTGCACCCCCGTTCGTCTTTGCAATTCCTTTGTCTTTATCAAATGGCTTCTATCTTTTCTTTCGATTCATTGTGATCCCGATAAAGGAGCTTTTATATTAAATTCTTTGTATTTTTTTGTGTGTCTCGGTGCCTCCACAGTCCACAAAGCATCAGTTTATGCGACTCTCACAAGACTTTCTTTAGTATCCATCTCTCAAGCGAGCGATAACAAACCGTACTTAATCTTATCATTCCCACTTTCGACCTCCATCTCTCTCTTCCTTCCACTTCTATTCTGGTCACATGTCTAAGGTTCAATGCTAGCATGCCATGTTTACTAAGGAGCGTCTTTACGTTTGATGGTGATGATGAGTGTTAACAGGCGGGGTGTGACTGCAGACAGAGGACTAAGCAAGGTGAATAGGCTCTTTACTATACCAGCTCGGCTCATAAAGATGGCTAAGATCCACAGTCAGGTAGCTCTGAACATCTTGAGACACTGCTCTCTATCACATGCAACCCATTTTCTGATTAACATGCATTTGGAGGAACACAATGCCAGACTTTGCAATGAAAACTGTTTAATAATCAAAATCCAACTGTTATAACAATTAGTCATCCCTTCACTGTTTTGGTTCAGTCTCATTGTTCTCATCAGCATCGTTTCCAGACGCAGCGGGCTGCTGATTTCAGCAGAAAACTAACTAATAAACGGCATTTAGCAGCTAAAAGAGCCAGATAACTCACATAAGAGTTGGTGGAGACCAAACGCAGCCAATATAGAGTGAATATCGGGCTTACGTTCACCGGGCCCAAAGCACGATTCCAAATGAATAATGAGGAAATATAACTCTTGCAATAATCAAGTTTTTATTTATGGGTCAAACTATGTTATATGAAATGCCTCAATTGTAGTTATGAACACAGTTCCCCAAAAATCTTTTTAATCTCATTGTTTTACTTATTGTACTTAATAATTTGTGTATGGAATAGTTTTGTAATGTTATCTCTCCTGTCCTCTGCTGTCACCATGTTATGTTAAAGTATTTAATGTAATAAAATTAAGTAAATCAGCTGTGTAGCCGGCAAACTGACATCAGCAGACGAGCCACTTTGTTTCTTCACAGACATTAGAGAGAAAGCTAATGTGGGCCATGCCTTTCCTTTGTTCAGTTCCAGTGTCTGTCTACTGCTCCCCCCACCCTCTCTCTCTCACATATATACATTCACGTACAGTCATGTGAAAAGGGCGAGATTAGTCTCCATCCCGTGTCCTTCATATCGAACGGCGTCTCCTTAACAGCCACTCCATCAGTCTAGCAGCTTTTGTCCTCTGCTAGCTGGTTAAGGTGAGCAGACACGCCCACTCTAATGACCCCAATTAGTGGTGAATGGTAATGTCAGACTGTTTATGTGCGTGTGTTCGTACATACATTCCAGTACATGGTGGCTTTTCACCGCCATACACTGATACAGATCACAAACGAGGTCAAATTCATTTGCAAACCAATCAGTTCTGCACATGAACTGGCCCTGAAAATGAAAAACAGTTTGAATCTTTCAGTTAATTTGATTGCCCAAAATGAGTGGTGCTGAAATGAATTTGACCCAAATCAAACCTCGAAGAATCCACAGCTCACGATAAAAAGGAGCGCTGCAAATACCAATGTAATCCCTTTAGCCCGCGCCTCAACTGCATTAATACCAATTCTTGGTAGCCACGGAGTTTTCCCAAGTGCGGAAAATATTAAATGTCTTCCTGTTTAATCAAAAACAACAACAAAAAAGAGGTTAAAAACTCCAAGTGGGACACCAGAAAGACTTTCAACAGAGAAAGACCCGGAGAGAGGCCCAGTCACAAAGGGGACTTTGAAGTCATGATGTTTGAAAGGCTGTTTCATCTCAGCTCTTTTCAATATTAATTGTATCCAAAGGCCTTTCAGAGGAGATGACTGAGCTATTGAGACACATTTTAAGACAAGAGCGGCGAGGCCAGGAGAGCAGAGAATCCCCCAAGTCTCTCTGAAGTCACGCCAAAAACCTGTCAGGAGTCGAAAACGTTTGCGCGCTGATGTGAGTGAAAGAGGAAGAGCTGTAAATGACGGGAGGGTTCACCTTTGGGGGCATTACTGAAAGACAAATGTCATTTTAAGTGTTGCTAGGACACTCGCAGAGCTGCAGCAATGATTCCTTTTTCGTCTCTTTCCTTAAGACTAAAAAAACGTGTTTTAATTTAATATGAGACAGACAACATTTGGAAGACATGATATCTGCAAATACTTAATTTAATTTACACGAGATTGTTGTGAATTCCCTCACTGACAGAGTATAAGGTATTGTCTTTTTGTAGCAGCTTAAGAGCCAGCTATTTCCTTCAGGCATTGGTAGAAACCAAAACAGAAGAAGAGGGTGAATATTGGACTTATATTCATTCACTCCTAACAAATGCTAATGCCACTTCATGTCTGCAACGCGTGTCTGCCATTACACAGTAATGCGATAGTATCTCATTGTTCTTGGAGCTTGTGAGCTGCGCCTGAGCGGCCAAAAACTAAATGAATTCTGGCACAAATAATCATAGTACTATAGAGAATGTTTCCCTACTGCATTTTAAGATGTATTGTACTTCTCTACTCTGTTTCCTATATTTCATGTGATCAGTAACTACTGGTTTCACTCCACTTGCTCTAAATATCATCACTTTTGTATCTATATGCTTTGGCAACATCTTTTTTTGAACATAGCATCATGCCAGTCAAAACTTCACATAAGGAACAAAAGATGGAATAAGGAGGGAGGAGAGGGTAATGATACGGTTTGTATGCTGTTGTGTTAGTAGCATGACTGATTGATATGGAAAAACAAGCAGAACAACTAAGCAGGAGGAGTAAGGGGCTAGCCTAGCCTACTTTCCTGTCTGTCTGCATGAACTCCTGCCTGTGCTCTCGTAACGCGCCACACAAGTCTTCCACAAGCTGCTAGCTTGACAATAGCCTTGTTCGTTGTTTACGTTCGTTATGGTAATTTGGAGGTAGCGGCTTTGTAGGGACGCCTGAAGGGACGGGCTGTCAGTGTTGCCGACTCGGCGACTCTTTTGCCAGATTCAGCGACTTTTGAAGCTGGTGCTGCTAGCTAGTTTCATTGGAGAAGAGTTGGCAACACTGGGCTGGGATTTTCTGTTAAAAAAATCTAGCGTACTCTTGTCGGGTTCTCAAGATTAGCAACCCTAGTTTTTCATAATGCTTGTAAAGTATGGCCCGACCGTGTGATGGAGAAACACGTGAAGAAAGAAACAGAGAGATTCTGTGACTTCATCCTGTTGCCACGGTAACTAACGGAAAGAGATGCAGGTCACACCGAGTGGAGGACCAGAATGCACATTTGCATAAATACAAATGCCTACATACAACGTTCGTTGACCTCATGTCGGGAAAAAGAACACTCAGCTCATGAAGTCCACGAGCAGACTTACGAAAAATAAAACACATTCTCCTCTGCTGGTTGGTAAAATACTTTGCGTTTAAAACACCAAAACATTTATTTCTCTTTGGTCTGCAAATCAAACTCCTCCAGTCAGCCTCCCTCTGCTATGTCACCCATCTCTCTGTGCAACTGCTGCAGTTTCTCTCAATTTGACTTCATCCCTTCTCTTCGTTTTTCCACTTTCTCCTCACTTACCCTCTCTTCCTGTGCATATAAGTCTTACTAACGCACACACACACACACACACACGAGAAACATCAAAGGAGTTTTGGAAATGCGAAATGACCCAGCGAGTTTCTCTTCCTACGTCACTGTAGATGAAGGGACCATCGGATTAAAAACAGACGCTCAGGTTGCATCTTCATCCACAGCTTTCAAGTGGTTGGGTTTCTATGTGCGTTTATATACAATTGTCTGCAAAATCCATGAAACAAGCATGTTTTTTGGCATGCATCTTTAGTGTAGTATGAGCATGTAATGCCTGTAGCTTGATGCTGGAGATAGGATTTCTGTGCGTAGGAGGACCTCACATGGCATCAGTGGGGAGAGGCAGCGATGATGGGAAAGGGAGAATGAGAGAGAAGGTGATACAAAGAGGAGGAAATCCAATAAATGAAAGAGAAGGAGAAACGCTAATCACTGTAAAGAAAACGATGAGAGAGATGATCTACATCCAAGGGAGCAGAGAGAGCTTTGAGGGAGGTGGGACAAACAGAGAGACAATATTACATTTAAAGCGAAGACAAAAAAATAACCAGAAGGTTGCACGAAGATGCACGAAGATATCCCATCCTGAACTCCCAGCTCCAAGATCTCTCCTACTTCCTTTTTCCCCCCCTTAAAACAAACACTCACCATGAACTGGACGTTGTCAAATCCATTGGCCAGCAGGTGGTTCTCGTACTGGACCAGACCGATGGAGTCAAGCCACTGGCCCACGGACTGCATTGGGCAGCGGGGACCTATTAGGGGGTGGAGGGGCAAACGCTTCAGTAAGGAGTAGCCGTCCACGCGGTAGCAGCGACAATCCGGCTGAGACAGCTGGCACTGCCACATCATGTTATGGCGGGCAATGTGGCTGTCGAAGGAGCCCGCCATGCTTTTTGATGAGTCTTTTGGCAAGGCAGCAGGAGGAGGAGAATAAAAGGGAGGCAGGGGAGGGGTGGGGGAGTGGAGAAAGTAGGAGGAGGAGAAGGAGGAAGTGGAGGCTAGGCTAGAGGCATGGTGAGGATGGAGAGGGTCAGCATGCAAGGGTGCAAGCGGGTAAAGGGTAGGTGAAGGCGTCCAGATGCTGCTTTCTCTGAATCCAGCCAGAGGGAGGATGCGAAGGGCTTGAAAGCTGAAGTTGTATCCAGAAAACGGCTACCGTCCTGGGGTTAAATCCTGCTAGAGATGGGTGTTGGATAAGATTGGAGGTACAGAGATCCGCAAGCAAAAGAAGGCTGACTGTGTGTTTGTCGCGCACGGCACAGCAGCCGCTTTCTTTTTCAGCTGTTGCGCTCGCTTGGCTGCTCCCTCGAGTGTGTGTGTTTGTTTGTGTGTGTGTGTGTGTGTGTGTGTGCGAGTTTGAGTGTGTGTAAAAGAGAGAGAGAGAGAGAGAAAAAGAGCGAGAGCTGCCTGCGCTGTAGATTTCTCTTTATCAAGTACTCCCACTCTCATCTGTATGCTTCTGCAGCCTCTCTTCTCTCTCCTCTCTCTGAGCGCTGCTTTCCTCCTTAATTCCCTCCCTCTCTCTCCCTCTCTCTAGCTCACTTTCCTCTGTCTACCTCCTGTCTCTATCTCCTCTCACGGTGTCGATCGTCACCCTGCCGCTCTCTATATATCTGGCTCGCTCTGCTGATAATAGCCATCACAACAGCTCCAGCTTCTTTGTCTGCAAGAAGCCGGTCTCCCTCCCACTCTCACACACACACACACACACACACACACCGTGCTCAGTGTCTATGCCGCCGCATCTATATGTGTGTGTGTGTGTGTGCTGTGGTGTAGCTGTGTGTGCATTGTTGTGGTGGGGGGGGGGGGGTCTTGCATTGGCACAAACAGGATTTCTCCCTGTGGTAACCATGGTTAGCAGAGGCTTTGCATTCACAGATGAAAAGAGAGAGAGAGAGAGAGGGAGCGAGGAGGAGGCGAGGGGATCAGGAGGTGGAGGATGGGGGAGTTACCATGGGGAGAGGGGGATGAACGCAGTAAATAGAGATGAGTAGCGTGGATTCAAGGTATGCAGGTGGAAACAAAGAACTGGGATTTAATGCACACAGGAAAGTCAAAAAGCAGACTCACCCACACACTCATTTCACTGAAAAGATAACACTGATTTATTTAAATTCAGGTCTTATTTTTTGTAGTTTTTTACCATCATTCCTTCTGGTTATGATGAATAAAGCTTTTAGTGCAAGTTAAGCAGGGAGACAATTATCCGTCGTCAATTCTCTGTGGCTCCACCTCTCAGTTATTAATCAATGAGCTCAACAAGATCTGGTCGCAGGCTTCCTGTCAACCAATGAGCATCAAGGATGTTTACCTTCCTTTCCTCTTTCTGCTTTCTGATGTCAATGCAGTCTATGTGTGCCACTTCGCTCCTCCACATCCCACAGCCCCCTGTGTTGACTGTCTGGAGCTCCACAGCACAGTGGTTCCTAACCTTTTAGGCTCGTGAGCCACTTGAAATAAAGTGAAGCAATTTCTACCGACAAGCCATCGTCAATAGTTGCATATGTCTGTGGGTTAGTAATAAATTAACCGAAAAAAGGCAAAGAGTAGAGGAACGGAATCTTTTTCTCTTAAATAGAATTGTGTGTTGCATTGCTTTTCTGCTTCTATCCCAGAAATTATATTTTATTCCCTTGAGGGGAAACAGTTGGTTGCTGTTGCTATCTGATAATCCGACTGCTTCTGTTTATTGCCGCGTTGGACATCATTGTAAAAACATTGCAGTGTCCCCAGATCACAGCAATTACTTTGGTGAGTGCGGTGTTATCACGCAGCGATGGCCAAAATATACTAAAATAAGACCTTAGTAGTAATAAACCGGAAATTGTCCCCCAAGTCAGATTTACTGACATGCTCACACATATATGTTTGTGTGTATTTTACCTGAGGTGTCCTCCTTGATGTCCAATCCACTGCCTATTCCTGCACCAATAGAGCTCATAATCTTGTCGATCTGAACAAACGAGAGGGAGAGAGAGAGAGAGAGACAGAACCAGAGTTAGAGAGCATGTTCAAGGGAAAGCCATTTTCCAGTAATAAGGCTAACCCCTATTTCTGGATTCAAGTGTCACATAACATGATCATTACGCCTGCCAGCTCGCTGGATGTCAGTCACTCCCCCTGTGAACTGAAAAAGCGAAGGAGAAGCAGAGGGGGAAAAGACGTGTTAGCAGGAAACTTAAAGACATGAGCAGAGATGAAGGAAGAGGAAGACAGATGGAGGGAGCTTCAGTGACTTCATTAGTGTCTGGCTGTCGACCGGTCATCACAGACCCCGGACCTGCTGCTAATCACTGAACTATGGGACCTGCACATCCGTCCACCTGTCAGGACCGCTGGCTCACCACAGGTCAGAGAAAACCAGCATTGCTGCGAAATGCGCCCGAGACCGCTGTTTAAAAGGCCGGGTCTGATGGATGCAAACCGTGTTTACAAGCTAGTGGACCATGACGGTGGCCTTTTGTTAATAGCTGGATAAACAGGAAGCAATTTCCGCATAACTGCTCACTAATGTACCTGTAATATGGAACCTAGAGGCTAAACTGTCACGGTATGTTGATGACGAAAAGATATCTTAAAGCTGCATTTCTCAAGAAGTTTATATAAACAAATGACTTGAAGTAAGTTAGTATCCAATAAACACATTGTACAGATTTTTCTGCAGGCTGTTAATTACCATCCAAATAACCACAAACAATCAGCAATTTTCAAGGTAAAGCCAGATGAAAACTCACATATGTAACATACAGGAACCACCTCGCCTAAGGCCCTAATAATTATGGCTATCTTCAGACCATTGACTGTTCTGGGACATCCCTCATGACTCTTCTGCTAATACAGCAACTCTTTCCTGAACGTGTGCTGCAAATAGAGCAGCTTTGTTATTTTTGCCAGTGAAATCCCCATTCATCACTCCACAATTTCCCTGAAGCCATCTTATCTTCGTATCCGGCACCACGCAATTAAACAGGAAAGGTCACCCTAATTGCCGAGAATTATGGGAAATTCCATATGGTAATTCATCACCATCAGCAAGTTATGAGCTTTGTTGAGGAACTAATGAACATGAACATGCAAATGTGGACAGGCACGCACAAATGTACTTTCACTCGCATGCATTAAGCGTTACTTTAAAAATAGACTAATAAAGTCATTCTTATGATTAGAAAACAAAATGGTATGAGATTCTTTATTTTCAGGGTGTAAACATGCACACGCATCAGTTTGCAAAAGTGTGTGTTGTCTGTGGTGTGAATGATGGCCAGTGAGCAGAAGCTAATGTGTCTGCAACCCAAAGTGTTTATGAAGAGGCAAGTCCAACGGTGGCGTCCAGCTAATGGATTACATCTGGGTCAGAGGCCCTTTGGTACCGAAGGGGCCCCAGGCACAAACACACCGAGACCAAAACACACAGCACCCTCGACCTCTAAAACAGAAACCGCTCTCTCTCTCTAAGATCTGGTCTGTCTTGCAGCTCCAGTGATGGTTACAGAGGGAAATCAATGTGGGAGCATGTTAAACCAGCACTGGGACTCCTTCTGCAGCGTAGTAGCTGAGTGGATTTTAAAAGGGAATAAAAACTGAAGATCTGAGTGCACAGAGCTTTCGACCGCCCCCTGCAGAGATGCTTACATTTGACTACAGATATGCAGTGTCTGATTAACCGAAGTGATAAAAAGAAGACACGTTCCCCTCTAGTTTTCTGTAAATCTGACCACTTTCCCTCCATCTCAATTGATCCGAAACACCAGTTTAATACCCCATTCCTACCTCTTCCCACTCAGCAGTGAAGGAGGGCGTTCTCTCCAGTCTTCCCGCCGGGCTGGAACCCTCTCCTGGGCTCGGACTTCCAGGCCCCTGGCCACGAGATCCAGACCCCCAGCCATGCTCCTCCTAGACCCGGCCAAAACCATCAAATTTAGTTTTCCAACCATAATCAAACAAACAATGACATGCAAAGCTTGTCCAATATTTTAACCTTAAAATTTTGGACAACCATAAACCAATTTCTTTCAGTGCTCATTAAAGTTTCATCTACAATGGAGCATTTCTCATCAAACAGACTATGTATTTAGCTTATGATTTATTTGCAATGAATTAAAAAAAGAAGCCTCATGAAATGTGCTGCACAGCACGGAGCACTGTGGCCCAGATTAGTGAGTTGTCTAATTGGTTGCACTGGTTTCTGAAGTCAGTCTGCATGATACAGCAAGATGCTAACTATCCCCACGGCTGCATAATTCATACAACTGAATATTTACAATGAATGCATTGGCACTCGTTGCTAACTGAGATCCCGGTGCCGACCTAAACTTTTACAAAAAAGAGAAACTTTTTTATAACTTTTGATAAAAGAGACTTTTATGTTATCCTTGGCCTCTTACATAAATGTCTCAGAGAAGCGGAACATCAGAGAAAAAAGAGACAGTGTTAAAGATTTAACTCACCTTCATAATACAACACACTGTAAATGCTTTATGTCATAAATCAGGGTCAAAACTTGGATTGCACATAGAACTATATTAGCAACAACTTACCTGTATAGGAGATACAGCTACCAGGTTGGAATCAGACTTGGACAGAGACTTGGACAGCTGCAGGTCCAACACACTGCGGGGCATGGACCTCATCCTCCCCAGGGTGCAGGCCCTCTCCTCGTAGCCAGCACCGACTGAACTGCCCTTGGGCACACCTCCTGTCTGGTTCCCCCGTAACTCTGGAATTTTGCCGTTTTGACCAGAGGAGTAGGAGGGGGGGTGGCCCAGCGCAGACCAGCCACAAGGTGGATCCACCTGCTCGCAGTTCCTGGGTCGGACCTGGTCCTGGTTGACCCTAGTGTGGAAGATAGTCCGGTATACCACCTGTGGCTTCTGGGAGGGGTTTGCGTCCCCCTGAGGCGACGAATCGCTCCCAGTCTTGGTGAAGATCTGAGTGGGTCCGCCTCCAATCACGATGCTGAGCTCCGGGTTCTGCACCAGGCTGCTCTGGACGTCTGTGGAGGCATATTTTCGGGGTTTGGGGCTGTAAAGATGGAACGGTGTATCGGGCGTTTCACACGCCGGGGAAGATCCATGAAGGAGGCCTGCAAACTCCTCTGGGATGTGGCTCTTCCTGCGCTCCTCCAACAGAGCGCTGGATGTGGAGGAAGAGCAGAGAGGAGGAGGCGGGTCTCGCTGGTACGGCCCGTCGTCTGCATGGAGGACACACACACACACACACACACACACACAAACATAGACTGATTAGGATAACAATTATCGAGATTTGCATAAAATGGGCCTGTCGCAACAACGATACACACCAATGGATTTACTCTACAAGAAAAAACAAGACAGAGATCAAACATTTACTCTCACTGCACAAATAAAGCACATGATAATATTTAAATGTAGAGTAAAATGCTTTGCACACTATGGAGCAGAGAGAGGAAAGCAATGGGGCAAAAAATAAAGTAAAATAATAATGCCAAACAACCAAAGCTGCAAAAAGGAAGATAAGAAGGAGGTAATACGTCTTCTGCTTCCCTGTTGAAAAGCTGTTTGTTCCTCCGGGGAAAAATAAAAGAACTCATCATTTAGATTTTACACCTCTGCTCCTTCGCTTGCCTGGGTGCAAAACTGTGTGTTTGGGTGTCTGAACTTGTGCATGAATGCATGAACTCATCGGGGCAGACGTTGGTACATTTTGAGGGGATGCTTTCAGAGGCCCACTCACCCTCTGTGAGCGGTGGGGTGAAAGAGACGCCGCTGAAAGCTTCTTTTGATTCTCTGTAAATAAGTGCGTGTAATTGTAGACGCACGTCTGAGCGCGTGCTTCTGTTTTCGTCTGCTTGGCTACTCGCCTGTTGGTTTGTGCATGCTCATGTTCACATCTGCAAACAAGTCACACCTGAGGTCACAGCAATTGTCTTGCATGTTTAAATGATGTATTCCTCGTGATGCAAAATGCAAAATAAGAGGTGCATTATTTATTCCTAGTCCATCATGATTATTTATTAGACTTCGCCGGAGCAGAGCCGCCGCGCTCAAACTCACAATGATAAATCTCCAACTCTAACGAGACGGTAGCAGAGCGATAACACTGTGTTCCAACGAGGTTCAGGTTGTAAGTCTGCTCCTGAGGTAAACAGCCCTGCTCCTATTTATTTATAGTTTGAAAAATAGTCTCTTACTCACTCTGTCGAAAACTAAATTGCAAATGTATGGAGTTACAATCATAAGTAGAAAGGTGGAAGAAATCATACAGAATGAATTAAGGAAAGGTAGCAAATATGGCTGATCCCATCATTATTTTTATATTACTAATAGGTGAAATGACTGTATAATGTGAAAGGGGTTGTTGGTGATGACAAATCACTCATTTAAAGCAGTAATATAATGGTTAGCAATTGGCTAGATCAGGCAGAACAGCTGGTTATGTCTTCGATATCATGCATGGTAATCCGTCAGCAGGTAAAATGATGACATCTCCCTTATCTGCCTAAACACAAACACAAGTCAGAAAGAAGAAGCAAGAGGCTTCTCAGGATCTGATTGTTTTCCAGTCATCAGCTTATTAAACTATATTGCAACATAATATTTTGCATTGTCACTTTAATTGCACTCTATAGATAGCTGAAATGAAAACTCTGTGTGTGTCGAGTTCAAATCTCCTTTTATCTGTTCCCTGTCACTGTGTGTTAAGGTTGTGTACCAGGCCATGTAAACAGTCTCACCACTGATAAGCATCAAACACACACACACACACACACGCTTAACAGTCACACAAACATGTCGTCACTTGAATGAATAGAAACGGTGCCTGTCCACACTCAAATAAATGCAGTCTTGTCACTTGAATAATTGCACGTAGCCCCACTGGCCGCCAGACGCGCACAGTGAATTTACAATTTTGACATTTGACCGCATAGTCCTGTTGCCTGGCACCTTCTCACCCCACACACACACACACACACACCAACACAGAGTCTCTGCTGTCAGCCAGTTTTAGCGAGCACTTCATGACTGTCCTCGGCACATCCAGACACATTTCCATATGACGCAATTACATAATACGAGTCGAGAATAAAAAATATTACTCTAATGCAAAAGACACGTGGATGCTTTTTCGGAGAAAACCTCACAGAAGTAAAAGGGAGAATAAAAGTGAGAGACAATAACAGTCCTGGATTGGACAGCAATTTGATATCTTTTGGAATGTGCTGGTTCCATTACCAGGTACGTGCAAGGTACGAACCACCCATTAACAGTCCTCCGGTAATGACTCATCATCTTGCACTACATCGACTGAAATCATCATTATTTCCTACAAAAAGCTGAAAGCTTTTTAGCTATGACTAATCTTCAGCATTTTCCAGCAAAAAAAGGGACTAAGTGTCTAAAAGATCAGCATTAATGCACAGAGAGTCGACCTCTGTCTTCAGCACAGCGCCGCCCTTTTTATGCCTTTTATCTTTGAAGGTCAGATTAATTACACAAAGAGCATTTTTGAGATAATCAACTACACAAACAATTCCCACACTTCGACTGCACCATGAAGGCATCAAAAAGTGAAAACATATTTTTCGCTATACTTTTAATTCTGTCTGTATGTGATTCTCTCAGCAGCCCTGTCGAGAATCCTCCATCACTCTCTCTATGCTTCTCCTCTTATATGTTTTTTTAAGATGACAACCGTTGGCAACAGGTGAGCCTGTTGGTTGCTATGGTAACATAGAGCCCCCAGCACCGGCATCTCTCCCACTTTTTCTCTTCTTTTTTTTTCGGGTGGCTGAGTGTTTTTTCGGCCTTCAGGAGAGCGAGGGAAAAGTGTGCGGCTGACAAACACAGCAATCAAATCAGCAGGTGTTTTTGTGTGTTTGTCTAGACAGAGAGAAAGAAGAGAGGCAGAGCTGATACATCTGTAAGTGCAAAAGTACTGGTTTGAGGAAAGTTACATGAAACATGGCTCGCTTCTCTTCTTCTTTCCCTGCAAACAATCAATTGTCTTGTGTGTCCGTGTGTGTGTGTGTGTGTGTGCGTGTGTCTCTTACCTTGGCATCCAAAGCAAGTGCAGCTCAAACTAACAGACTTTCATACTGTATGTGCTGTACACACTCGTAGCATTCCTCACCCTGCTTCTGCTGAAATGCAGCAAACGTATAAGAATCCGATGGAGAACCAGCGGCTGCTGAATCACTCTGCATACCTGCATTCTTTATTGCCAAACTAGTACGCAAACGCACACGTAAACACACGGGCAAGTTGCGCATGTAGCGGCTCAGCCCGGGACCTGATCGGTATTCAGATGTTCATCTCAACACAAACAACCACGGTAATGCACGTGTTTAGAGAATTAACCCGCAACAAGTGAAGGATCATAAATCATAAGTAAATGATTTAACAACTCGTATATTATTGATTGACTGATGCAACGGTGCGTGGCATCATCACTTCCTTATCTTGATGAACTGTAAGAGGTAAAACCTTCAGCTGTGTATATCCACCCACCACCCAGCTAGTGGAGCACAGGCAGAGAAGAAGAACGTGAGTGGGAGAGATAAAGATCTGAAATTGAGCTTTTATTCAATGTATCTCATCTACATCTATTTATGGAGAAAAAACACTTGAAATTCATCTCTCCTGGGGAGTTCAGCGGTTTAAGATGCATACAGTAGCTGTGTCCCAGTTCCACACTACATACTAACTAGGTTTCGCAAGTAGGTAGTGTATCAACACTGGAAAAGTGAGTACAGTAAGTACGCATACTAGATCAGCGTGATTTTTGAGTGGACTGTTGATGGACACAGTATTGTCGCACATAAAGGATATGGATGGGTTGCTCACAGCTACAACACAATGGATGCGTTAACTGCAGATCATAAGACAGCTGCAGGAACATCTGATCATAAATTAGTTATGAAAAAGGTTGTTTTTTCAAATAAAGCACTAGAAATAACAAAAAAATGTATTAAATCTGTGAAAGTACACTTTCCTGTCTCTGAGTGCTACTTTTTGTGACAGTGGTGATTTAACTTTCTGTTATGCAATAATGTATATTAATTGGAAAAACATACTAGGAAAATTTGAGTCAGACGATTCATTAGTGTCCCACAACGTGTGTTTACGTTCAAGTGATACCGCCCTCTAGTGGTTGTAGTAATTATCACTGGAGCAAGTGTTTTTTTTTTAATGTGCCTTAACCATCGCCGTGTCACGTCATTAAACAGGTTTATTTTTGGAAGGCACAGACAAGTGATGATCAGAAAATGCTTGAATGTGTCATTCTAGAGGGCATGGGAATTCTCATCATCTAAAATGTTCGTATGTACTACGGAGTCGAGTCAAAGCTCATGTAGCAGCTCTCTTCTGTGCATTTCCAAACTGAAATAAATGTATTACTATTAGCATTTTTAGAAAAATACATTTGTGCTTTGTGCTTTCCCCCCAGGTCCGATGCTTGGACAGAGTAGGGGGGGTAAGGAGGTTGGTGTCGGGGGATCTGAGGTTGGGAGCGTGTTGGTGCAGGAGGTCAGAAAGGTATGAAGGGGCTAGGTTGTGAAGGGCTTTGAATGTGATGAGGAGACTCTTGAACTGGAATCCTTGCTGTATGGGGAGCCAGTGGAGGTTCTGAAGGACTAGGGTGATGTGATCTCTGGTGCGGGAGTGGGAGAACAGACGGGCGGCTGAGTTGAGGGGCGTATAGTCGGGCGATGTTTTTTAGATGAAAGAAGGCGGTTGTTGTCATGTGATCGATGTGGCGTTTAAAGGAGTGGGTTTGATCAAGAATGATACCAAGGTTACGGACATGTGTGGAAGCAGGAACAGTGGTGCCATCGATGCAGAGGGATTTGTTTAGTGATTTGGGGTCGATGATGAGGATCAGATTTGTCGCTGTTGAGTTTGAGAAAGTTGGCTTTCATTCATGTCTTTATATCTGTGAGGCATGTTGGCGAAGGTGGAGTAGGTGGTGGGGGTGATGCATTTGGTGGAGATGTAGAGCTGGGTGTCGTCAGCGTAGCAGTGGACGTGGAAATGCTGTTTTTGCAGTTATGAAGAACAAATCAATGTACTTTACTGATTTGTAGGAACAGGGAATGACGTCATAATCAATTTTCACAGCAGATACTTCATCTTGTCGTAGCAGGAAAAACACAGGTGTCACCAATAACACTGAAGAGAGCTTTGTTACATTCAGGGACTGTAAGCCATG